TCATACCACCAACACTGGACGGGATATACTGGAATGATAATAGTTAGTGACAGTTATACTATTAGTTATTATCTTACATTGATGTGGTTTTGCGATAAGTTGAATTCAGTCAAACTCTGCAACCTATTAATGATAACCACACCTACTAATTAACAATGACTCCACCCATCAATTAATAAACTAACTATTGCCCACAGTACATATAATACCACTGATATAGGGATTCACAGGCACACACACACACACATTACAAGTGATAATCAGTACAGTACCATATTAGTACAGTACACTAGTGGTACAACATACCCTCCTATTGACTCAGGGAGGAACATTAACCTGTTACTGGAGACATTACACACCTTTAAACTCTTTAAATAACCTAGCAACAAACAAACAAACAAATAAACAAATAAACAATAATAGCAACAACAACTAACCAAAGGACACAGGTAGTTGGGTGAGAAGGTTATTCTGGAGGTAGAGGTCGGTCAGTGATGATAGTAGTCCAATGGAGTGTGGTAGGTCCATTAGTCTATTGTCTGATGCTTCAATGAAGGAACACTTCTTCAACCCACTCATCTCCTCAGGGAGAGATATCAAACTATTCATGTCAATCCACAGCTCCTCTAATGACTGGAGACCACCAACCACAGGAGACTGAGGGAGGAGGAGGAAAGCAATAACAATACATTATATACTAGGAGCTGCTGCTGCTGCTGGTGACTTACTATATTCTCAAACTCATTGCAACCAATGTCTAACCGCTCAAGATACTTTAACTGACCCAACGACCTGAAGGAGAGAGAGAGGGAGGGAGAGAGGAGGGGGAGTGGAGGGTGTTTGTAAGTGGATAGGTGTTCCAGATTCATAATTGTAAACAATTAATTATAAGAAGTTTTAAAAGGAGAAGTGAAGCCCCATACTACCACTCAATATCATTCCCATATAGTACAACCTATAATGTATTAATAATGATATATATGGCCTGATGTACATGTATGTTCAAACACTAACCTAATAATGATCATTATTAGTAAATATTACATACCAACTGCTTATAAGAGTTCTATTGTACTACTATACACTCATTGATGCAATCAATAATGATCAATACTATAGTCTATAATGCTACTATTACTGATGTTATTCTTATGTCCATTGACCATGATTCTGTGTGTGTGTGTGTACGTGACTGTAGTTCACTTACTCTGGTAGTGACATCAGGTGGTTCTCTCTCAGTTCCAGGCTGACCAGTTTACTGAGACTAGTAACAATAAGAGGGTGTGGTCAATTACATTCATTAATTATTCATAGACTATTACATTACTTTGAACACTCAACTAACATTAATCATACAATGAACTCTAAAATTCCAACAAAACCACACCCAATGAATACTAGTACATTAATAAGCAGTGTCACAGTGGTATATGCAGTGATGGAACTACCAGTAAACCAGGCTATAGCTATAGAAGAGGTTGAGTTAATTGAAGTCTCTCTCTCTCCTCTAACTGACAATACATTGTGATGGTCTAGTGATACTTACTGTCCGATGTTGACTGGTAGAGTACCCATGTCACATTCATTAGCAAAGAGGAACCTCAACTGAGCCAGGGAGACTATACCATCACACAACCTAATGATGATATATTAATAATCTATTATTTATTGATGGTGTTGTTGATGCAGCTAATATCAGTGAATGTGTGTTGATTCTGTTTATACACTAACTAAATTAGAAGTACATATAAATACATATTTAACACCATCATACACACCACAACACAGTACAGTATACAGTGTAGTACAGTACAGTATATAGTACAGTACAGTACAGTACAGTACAGTATAAGTACAGTACAGTACAGTACAGTATAAGTACAGTACAGTACAGTACAGTATAAGTACAGTACAGTACAGTATACAACACAGTACAGTATACAGTACAGTACAGTAGAATACAATACAGTACAGTACAGTATACAGTACAGCATACAGTACAGTACAGTATACAGTACAATACAGTACAGTACAGTACAGTATATAATGATTAGTGTATGTGTGTGTTCATACAGTTCACCTTCCAATT